ATTTATTACAGTCAACACATAGAAATTATATATAGGATGCATTGTGACATTTCAGTATTTTAATTATATGATTATAATGATCATATCAGGATGATTGGCATATTTCTCATCCCAGGCATGAGTTATTTCTTTGTGTTTTGAATATTGAAAATCCTATTAGCTATTTAGAAGTTTCCCGGTGATTGTTAACCATCATTATCCAACTTTACACCTGTTCTCTTAGACATTCCCTCTCCAGATCATTCCCCTCCCCAACCTTTTCAGGCTCTAGTAACCACTGTTCTACTCTCAACTTCTGTGAGATCAACTTTTGAGCTTCTATATGTAAGTGGGAATATGTGTGTTTGTCTTTCTGTGCATGACGATATCAATTAACATAGTGTCTTCCAGTTCTTTCCATGTGGCTGTAATGACAGAATTTTTTCCTTTTCTTATGGTTGAAAATTATTCCATTGTGTACAGGTACCACATTTTCTTTATCCATTCATCCTTTGGACACTTAGGTGGATTCCATATTTTGTCTATTGTGAACAGGGCTATAATAAACATGTGAGTGCAGATGTCTCTTTTAAACATATGATTTCAGTGCCTTTGGGTATACGCCCCGTAGTAGAATTACTAGATGATTTGGTGCTTCTATTTTTGGTTTTCTAGGTACCTCTGTACTGTTTTTCATGATGACTGTATTAGTTTATATATCCACCAATAATGCAGGAGAATTCCTCCATCTCCACATCCTCACCAGAATAGTTCATTTTTTTTTTATCTTTTTGATAATAGCTATTCTGAGGAGAGATAATAACTCATTGTGGTTTTGATTTTCATTTTTCTGATAATAAGTGCTAATGAGCATTTTTTTCATATACTTGTTGGCCATTTATATATACTCTTCTGAGAAATGTCTACTCAGGTCCATTTTTTTTAATTAGATTTTTTTTTCTGTTGAATTCAGTTTCTTATACATTCTGGAAATTAATGCCTTGTCAGATGAAGAGTTTGCAAATATTTTCCCCTATTTCCTATGTTGTCTCTTTACTCTGTTCATTGTTAATGTTTCTGTACAGAATATTTTTAGTTTGGTATAATTCTATTTCTCATTTATTTGTCCTGTGTTTTAGGGGGTCATAGCTTCAACATCTTTGTCTAAACCCATGTTCTGAAGCAGTTTCCCTATTTTTTTTTCTGGTGACTTCACAATTTCTAGTTTTATATTTAATAAGTTTTTTTTAATCCGTTGGTGATGTTTTTTTTTTTTTTTAATGAGAAAAAAAGGTCTAGTTTCTTTTGGGTGTAGAACAGGGCTACAATCTGATTTGTCCAGCAGCACTTACTGAGGAGATGTTTCTTTCTCTAATGTAGTTCTTAAACTGTCCAGTCGTGTTGTTCGTCTTTGACTCTCCCTTCTTCCTCAGATGTTGACATCCAACCTCTTCTACATTATTTCTGTTTTTCATGGCTTATTCCTCCTCTATCTCTTTGGCTTTTGCCTAGTTGAGATTCTTACTGGACTCTGAAACTCCTCCTCTCCAAGCCATGGCTCTTCAAATACTCTCCTCTGTGTTTCCTCTGTAGTATTTACCTGATCCTGATAATGCTCTACTGTAATCTTGAATGTATCCATAATGCGTATGGGAAGAAGACTTCATGTAGTCAGGAAACTGTGACCTTTTGTTGATTGGATATGCTTGAGTTCATTGGCTTCACTTTACACCCTTTATGCTGCCCAGATTAGACTGTGTTGCTTTCTGAAGACACACCATCTTTTCCTTTCTTGTATTTTTACTGAAATGGTGACCTCCATCTAGAAGAAAATTTCAATATTTCTAATTCTACGTATCCATTCTAGTATTTATCAAAATAGTAACTTCTCTCCTAAGCCTTCCATGATTCCTTTGCTAAAAGTTGTTTTGATTTCCCTCTGCATTTCTGCCACAATTTACAGGTACTTCTGTTATGTTTCTTCATATTCTATAGATGAGGAGATGGGACTGTTAACTATGGGTCACAAAT